CCTGACCATTAGCCTGGAACACCCCATTGGCAGTCAGAAGACTGACCGGTTTCGTGGATTCAAAGACTTCGTTCTGATTGACCATCTCTCTAGATACTAAATCATTTGCACTACCTGTATCGGCAATCCATGCAATCTCAGTGGCTGGCACTGAAACTTGTTGAATTTGAAAACAGTGCTTGCAAACCCATTTCCGAATCGCAGAGATACCGGCATCGTGCCTCGATGCCGTTCAGCTCATTTTGAACGGCTCGGCTCAAACGATCAGCTGCAATGCATGCATCTTCGGATGCCATTTCCGAAACTTCAGTGTTTCCTTTGTAGCCTATGGGAAATCTGACGTGCTTGCTTTGTGTTCGCGCAGCAACTGGAAACATTAAAGAATTATCATGAACCACGTGTTTAAAAACTTCTGGTTTGTCAACAACCGAAAGGCTTCTCACATTCCCAGGTCCTGATGATGACGGGGAAGAGCTGGTAGCAGGTGTAGCAACCATGGCCACGTTTCCCAACGGGAAACTGATAGTAGCCGACTGCGATGATGAGACGGCAGACGCTAAGACCAGAGTACGGAGTAGGCAAACAGCAGCTGGGTTAGAAGGAGTACCTTTCCCACCTTTGGATTTCTGACTACCGCCAGAACCATTGGAGCCACGAGAAGTACTTCTTTTCTTCTTCTCTTTCTTCTCCTTCTTCTTCTTGCGCTTCTTTTTGTCGTCGCTGGGGGCAGGAGTAGAAGAACGATCTGGATGTTTGAAGGCACAGTTCTTTCCCCTGTGACAGTCACCAGATTTCCAAAACCTACAAACTTCTGATCTTGACCCTGGAGTCAGCGACCTCCCACGTGAAGAAGATCTACCCTTTCCACCACCTTTGGGCCTTCCTTTGCTGGATTCACGGGGCTTCTCATGCTTGAATGGGCAGTCGCGCCTACTACACGTCCCTTTGTTCTGAAACTCATAACAAACACCTTTTGGCTTCTTGTCATTCGGGTCAATGACAGGAGCTGCAGGGTCTTTACCTCCAAGACTACGCTTTGTGGCATCCCTCATCTTCTCAAGACGTTTTCTCTCAAGGTATGCCTTCGCTGACTTGATCAAAAAGTCATAAGTCTTTTCGGCACTCCCTTCCGAGGCGCGTTCGTTCATGGCAAGGTCGTGACTCAAAGGTTTGAAATTCTTCACAGCTAGGTGAAAATACGCTTCGAGCCATTTCTTGTCAACCTCCGTTCGCATGCCTGCAATGACAAACTCCCATCGGGTTACAAAGCCCTTGAGGTCCTCTTTCACCATTTTGGTCCTCAACATCATATATAGCGCCGTGTTTTATGGATGTCGCGAAGTATTCATGAAACAGCAAAAGAATCTGTCGTCCTTTGATGGGTTCCTTTGCTTTCTCCTTGGTTTCCTTGAATGTGTTCAATTGGCGGGCGAGGTCCCCCTCTGCACAGTTCGTGAGACTTGAAAGAAGTTTCGCATCCAACGTCGTGAACCCCTCGGAGTCGTTATAGTGGTCACAGCGTCCTCGTAAACCTTCCCTAGCCATAACCTGGCCTTGTCCGGCTTTGCGGACGCCGCTGACACATTGTCCGGAACTTTAATTCGCCAGTCCCTGTACCTTTCAGGAGTAGGAAACTTGGGGATGAGAATTTTCTCGGCTTCTTTAGCCCTTTGTTCTCGATCCTCTTTCTTCATCTTTTTCAAGTGCTTCCTAACCTTACGGGCAAAGGATGAATCCTCAGAAGAGGAGCTAGAAGACGAAGGCGATCCGGACGGTGAAGGAGACCCCTCTTTATTCTTCTTTTTGTTCTTTTTGTGGCGTGACCTACCACGCTTCTGTTCCTTGTCATCCTTCTTCTTTTTCTTCTTGTCTTTCTTGCTCTTCTTCTTGTCATCGGATGAAGACGAATCCGATGAGCTGGGATGATCGGGAGGACCACCCCCAGCAGCCTTCGGAACGTTCATCGTTCCGCTCGCAAGGGCGTCACGATATGGTTCGCCTGAGCTATCGGTCATCGATCTTTGCGTTGGATGATATGGTTGACCCAATGGTAGCTCGTTCGATCCCATCGGACCGGGCAAAGAGGTTCTCAAGTTGGCTGACGGTCCAGAAGGCTCAAAGTTCCCTCGAGCTGATGTTTCCATCTTTTGTCGAAGTTCCCTAATGAGCTCTGTCTGAGCTCTCAACTCTTCTCTTAATTGTAATTCACGATTTTGTGCTTGTTGCTGCAATTCAGTCAAGTTGTGGTTGTACAAATGAGCTTCAGTCAATGCAGCGTTTTTCACATCTGCTTCGTGTGCAGTCATCTTGGCCTGTTCATTTGCAGCCCAAGATGCAGCCCTTCGTTCTTGTAACTCGAGTTGCTCCTTGACATGGTCATGAGCTTCGCGATGGGTTGCTTCCACATGCTTCCTTACTTGTTCATCTTTCTCGGACATCAGTTCCCTGTGTCGCATTTATGCCATCTGTGCGACCTCAGCTGACTTATCCAAGTTGACATTGATCATTCTTTGATCATGGAAGCTTGCCGTTTGATTGATGACCTGTCGCGAATCAACATTCGTAACCGACGGAACGAAGGCTGGGCTCGTAGGAGACATCGCAAAACCACTTGCCGGAGAGGCCGGTGGCACCGTGTTCCCACGTGCTTCAACCAAAGCATCTTCCCCATTCTCCGAGGTGAAGGCTTCCGTTGGCACATGTGATCCATGGTCATCTGCATCTCCCACACGCGATCTCGATCGATCCGTGCCATCTCGAATTGGTTCGAAGGACCTTTCCGCCATGCCACCTCAAGTATGCGCAGTACGAGGGTGGGTAGATGACACAGCTACAACGGCGCGTACCGCTCTTTGGCGATACGGCTGATAACCTGAATTTACAGGCCAAGAGCCTACAAGTACCAACAAGTAGAGCGCCCTTTTCTTGAGCCAAACGTAGAGGTCCATATGGTATGTACAGGTGTACAACCGTGAAAATACATTTTCTTCTTTTAGGATTTTGTTTATGTTATGCTATGCTTGCTTTTCGTATCTGCTTTCATAACCAGGCCACCGAGTTGTTGGCCACTCATCAGGCTCTTGCGCACGCACACGTTGCAGCGTTGAGCACAAATCCTCGGTCTGTTTTGGTGTAAGAAGAGGTTGAGTATTGAGACATTCTCAACATTTGCAAGTGTTCACAATTTGTTACAACGTTTTGGCGCCAAACTTTCATTTCATCCCCGCTTGAGAACTCTGATTCCAGTGCGAAGTTGAATGCTTCTGTGTGTCCTGCAATCACTGCGTTCACCCAACTATTTCTTCCAAGTGTCTCGCAACACCTTGCTGGCCGAATCCAAACTGTCGTAGCATGCGCGCAGGCTGTTTTCGTCGACCTGTGTCAAACCGTGCTGATGCAGCTGACGGAAGGAGAGGAAGCAGAACAACAAAGCAAAGCCGTTCCGAAGAGAATGGATGAAGCAAACTGGAGGGCTTCACACTTCGGCTGAAGCCAGTGGGAATCCCAGTGGGACCAGTAAAAGAATTCGGCGCCACATGGACACACTCTTCCTTCCTCAAAGCTTGTCAATGAATGCTTCAAACTTATGGTTATACCAGCATAGACCCCCAAACAGTATCGAGACGATTCGGTTGGACCAATATTAGTCAAAAATGGTTTCTTGGTACGCCCTACCTTCCCCCCAAGTGCAAACTGCTTTATCAATGATTTGTCGGCATCGACATCGCTAATTGTTCGGCCGCAAGAGAAGAAGAGAAGACAAGAGGAGGACAAGACCCGGTCACAGAGCCTGGCCACAGAGTTCAGGGGCGCGGCCAGTCAGTGTGTCCAGGGCTGGTCAACGCGGCCAGAGGACAAGAGAAGGACAAGAGGAGGACAACAGCAGGACAAGAGGAGGACAAGACCCGGCCACAAGCCCGGCCTACAGAGTTCACGGGCGCGGCGGCCAGTCAGTGTGGCCAGCTCTTTTTTTCTAAGATAGAACCCCAACCTCATACAATAATAATCAAAAAAGAAAGTGCACAACATAATGTCACCATTCATGACGAAGTCGTGTTCTCAGCCTGCACGCCGACCATGTCCGAAATCACCGATGCAGCATGGGGAGCTGCCTGCCAAGAGACGACTGCATTCGGACTATGAATGTCTGGGCAAACGAGCCAGGCAAACCATTTCACTGACTTCGGTGCCATTTTCGCCGGGCATCTCAAGCTTGTATTTTGAGCTTTCAATTTAGTGACTTATATAATGTGAATACTGAATACTATATGCATAGTTGGAAGCTCGGGAGATGGGCTTTGGTGAAAAAAACAAGTGGCATGCGCCTGGGTAACTTGATATGATTGGCCAACATACTGCGTCTTGTGAGGTTCTCGCATTCAAGCTAAATTGAACTTATAGAATCCTATAGATCTGCCTTTGGTGTCTTTTGGCAAGTCTTCATTCAGCCGTCATTGGCTGCGGTTCTTGCAAAATGCCAGCAGGGACAAAGAAACACGCCCTCATAAATGTACTCACGACTGAAAACAAAGTCAAAGCTTGACAAGTCCGAGCAAACGCAACTGCAACACGTTGGCTTGATATCTTTCCAACATGTTGTCTCGTTCTGAAGCCTCCAAGGCGCAAGAACTCCCGGGTGTCTGAAGCGAAAAGGCCACCAGCCATGACCGGTGACTTGGCGGGAACAGTCCCGTCTGGGCCATTGTCAGCCTGGTACGGGTCCTGCACAGAAGGAATGCCTCCCCGCATGCAGTTGCACTCAAGTTATTCGCAAAACCAGCATCCACGCAAACCCGACACGTCTAAGTTTCACAAGTGTCCGGAGGTTAGCAAGCTCATGCAAGCTCACTGGTGGTTTATTGCCTCAGACATTGTAAGACCTATGCCGTCTCAATCTGCCTCTCAGCAATCTACAATCTACCCACTTGTGCTTTATGTGCTTTGCATCTGCCTTTTCGAGAGGACCAGGGTGCTGGGAATCACAACGCAAAAAGCCAAGCCTGCCCCAGCGTCCATGAAAAGCCTTGCTGCGCATTTCTTTCTCTGAAGCAAGTATGTGTGCCTTTTGTATCCTGTATTCACCCGGCCTAGTACTCCAAGCCCACCCCCAAGTCGGTACTCCAAGTCCTTGCTGCTTGCGAGAGAACAAACTTCTGTGGCACCCCAAACTGCGAACACATGACAGGTCTGACAGGACATCTAATGATGGGATCTTGTAAGACCAGTCATCGGCCCCGATGGTGTCGATGCTGGGAACGACCACATGGCGCTTGTCCTGCGCATCCAAAGTCAAAGGGCCAAACTTGCCCAGAACCTCCCAAAACAACACTGCGGTTTTGGACAACGCCTAATTATAGGCCCCTGCTCCGCACAGTGAAGCCGTTTTTTGGTTTTGTTGAGCCAGCAGGACCAGCAGGACCGGCGGAGAAGCTACCCGAAGTTGCCACGTGTGGGTCCAAACCGGTGAGTTGCGATCAGGGAACGCTTTTGTTGTTGCAACCATTTTGCCAATGAGTTCAATGTCTCTCTGGATCTCTCTGGTTCAGCACGATTGAACCCCAGGATGTGGGAATAACAGGGTCAAATTAGTGAGGTTAGAAGAAAGTAGAACATATAAATGGTTGAGGAGGCGAAGTGAGATGAGTTGAGGGGAAACAGGGTAGTCATCTGCTTTGGGGGTGTTATGGACAAATCGTTTCAGAATGCAAACGCCTGACCTGCCGCTTTGGCTGTGTTCTCATGGTTGTCAAAGAGTTCTCAGGAGCAATCCTAATTAGCTTCAAGGGGTCATCAGTCATAACTTTGCATGGATCCAGGAATCGCTGCGAGATGAAGCGACGTAGCAGGTAGCATGACATGAGCTTAGGAGCTAAAGGAGAGAGCAGGAAAATGAAAAAGTTGCTAGGGTAATGGAAGGTCCCCTATGTTTCAGGCGCTTGCAGTCAGTTCCTTGGCCTACATTGCAAAGCAAGGGTCAGTCCACTGGGCTGGCTGGCTATTGAAATGCAGTATATCAGTACGGCGTACGGGTGTATGATTCTGATCTTCTGCAAATTACCCGGCTATATTGATCCGAGTCCTCTTTGATCCGCGCAAGTATTGGCTCCAGCCAGCCTTTAGTTGCCTGCGGAAGGCCGCGGCAAAGGATTGGGCAGAACAATTACCATGGCATGTAACATGCGAGGAGTCTCACCAGTCAAGGAGGCAAAACATGTGGCCAAACAACCCGCAGCACATTGATTGCATTTCTGTGGCTTCCGGTCCGACCTCAATATGGCTATCCAGGAAGACTGTCACTTCAGCGGTGGACCTCCACACTCCTTCCATACGAGCCTCAATGGGGTCCGCAAGTGTTCCTGCCTAAAGCTTGCTTAATTTCTTTCTTTCTGCCTGTCTCTGTCTCTGTCTCCGTCTCCGTCTCCGTCTCCGTGTCTGTCTGTCTGTCTGTCCGTCCGTCCGTCCGTCCGTCTGTCTCCCTCTCTCTCTCTCTGGTTTTCTTCTCTCCTTTCTTCCTTTCTCCAGGTGATTCCTCTAGTTTTGAGTTCCAATCGTCAAGTTCGGTGTGCGACTTGCAAAGTCAACATGATCCATGGCCAAGTCGCCATCATCAAGCCTATGAGGACAAGAGCGGCAATGCACGAATCTTCAAGGCAAACGCACGCACACTTCGCTGCCTATATATAGAAGCCTTAGCGTCTAAGGATGCCTAAGAATGGAATTGGAGATCTTCCTTCACACGTTTCTTTCTTTGTTGTGGTGTGAGCTGCATGGCGACGGCCACGCAATTCAAAATTGAATGTCTTTTTGCGATGCCCAGGCATCTTTGAAGCTTGCTTAGGCTTATGCCAACTCCAAAAAACCTCGCCATTCAGCTGCCAACAAACTACGCATCGATCACAGGCGGAAAGCACGTGCGCAAACATGCAAAATGCACGCCTCGAACTATGTTGCATAACTCTGTGTGGGCTCTTGAACCGCTTCAAAAGGTCACAAGAGCTTCGGACCCTCTTACACATTCGCAACAACATGAAAGGGCCCAAATGCAATCCTCCATGAGGACTGAATGACAGGACAGGTGCTGTCAGTATGCCCCACTATGCAAACGCAAAGGGAGGGCAACCGTTTTGACACCGTTTGAGAATTATATAATACTAGCGGATTTCAACATGACTTGCTTAGCCGTTCTGTTCATGCAGCTGCATCCCAAAAACACTTGATCAGCAGCACACCTCTGAATGTCAGTGTGCTTATGAAGTGGTCTGAAGAAAGTGAACTTTTAGAGCACCTCTCACCCTTGCGCCGATGTTATGTTGTGCCATGCTCACCACAGGTGGGAAGTCAACAGGAAAATTTACCATGAAGTGTAAGAAGGCTTTGTGATGCAATGTATATTGTAGCACACCTGATTACACATGCATATGAGCAGTTAATTGCAATTATGTGCAATTATAGATATGCTGACCGATGCTGACAGCATGTGTATATATATATATGCGTGTGTGTGTGCCACCCTCCGTTTCCACACCTTTCATTTCCCACAAAGCAGGGCGTCAGGCTCGATACACTTACCTGACGCAAAGAAGCTACAGTGTATCAAGGGAAGTGAGAGCTGATCACTCTCATGTAACTGCTGCGTGACATACTCCAACCTTCGCCACTGTGGTTTGTTTCCATGGTTTCTTCACGATCGCCCCCAAAACCCATCCATCCACTGGCTGCAGCCGCGCCACCGCAGACTCTGAGCGACTCTTCGAAACACATTGTTGAAACACCTTCAACTCCGCTGACTCAGCCACCATGCCGTTGCAGCTTTCCTTTCCTCGTGGGTTATGACGTTGGATAAACCTGATCTAAGTATGACCCGCTGTGCTTCCCCACCCGGGTGCGCAGTGTGATCCCCGCACGGGGCGAAATTAGTGGGATTTTGGATTGATTTTCCGCGTTTCTGCATTCGTTGGATTTGGTTTTGGATTGCCTTGCTTCACCTATGAATCACCCGACACTCATGCGGCCGCGTTCACGGTGACCTATGCGGTATACACACACATGTGCATACACCTTTTTCCCCTCCCCCTGCTTTCTCTCTTGCGCTTTCTTCGTTTTTCGGGTGTTCTTTTAGGCTCGTTAGGTGGTTCTTGACGCTCGTTTCCCTGCCCCGCGGATTTGTTTCTTTCTCTCTTGCCTGTTCGTTTGTCTTTCTAGGTCTGCCTTTTTGCTAGAGGCTTTTTAGGTTTGTAATGGTGTGTTTTTCCTCTTAGTCAAGGGCTAAGTATTCAAGTGCTAAGTAGTCACCATTTTTCGCTACTCCTATCTTTCTCCCTCGCCTTTTGCGTTTTCCTCTTTCTGTCTTTTTCCTAAGGCTCGTTAGGTGGCGAATCAGGCTTTGACCCCGTAATTTGCGCTCGTGCGGCAGACATGCACGCCAGAACACCTATCTTTGTCTCTTGCCCTCGTCGTTTCTCTTGTTCTTTTCCCCTTTCTTTTCTATTCTAAGGCTTGTTAGGTGCCTATTCAAGTTTTGAGAGGCGCAAAATAGAGCGCTCCGTTCCCACACGAGTGCGCCGATGATCGGCCAGTTGTGTGTGCCACCCTCCGTTTCCAGGAGGGTTCCCTTCCACCTTTCATTTTCCCACAAAGCACAGGCGTCAGGCTCGATACACTTACCTGACGCAACGAAGCTACAGCGTATCGAGGGAAGTGAGAGCTGATCACTCTCATGTAACTGCTGTGGTTTGTTTCCATGGTTTTTTCACGATCGCCCCCAAAACCCACCCATCCACTGGCTGCAGCCGCGCCGCCGCAGACTCTGAGCGACTCTTCGAAACACATTGTTGAAACACCTTCAATTCCGCCGACTCAGCCACCATTCCGTTGCAGCTTTCCTTTCCTCGTGGGTTATGACATTGGATAAACCTGATCTAAGTGAGTGTGTGTGCCCCTTGTAGTCACAGGGATTCTTTTGAATTGTACATCGTTTATTTTAAGCAGGGGGACTGCCTGGCTTGTAACAGTGGCAGTCCAACGAAGAGGCTGTTACAAGTCACTGATATGGATTCTGGACGCAGAATCCACGTACCTGCTTGGTTGTGGCGTTGACAAGCTTTCACTCCAATCTTCTCGTAAAGGGCTAATGAGTTCGGCAGATGTGCACGGACCGCCGTCATCTTGTCGCTCCGACTTCGTCGTTTTGGTGCTTATGCTTTTGGCCTCACTTCCTCTTACAGACCCCCAGGCTCGTTAGGACCTCCCTGGACCTTTCAGGATTTGGGTTTCTTAGGCTGGCGTGTGACACCGCTGTCAATCAGTACGCATATCCACAAGTGTGTCTGGCCTCGCGCCAGTCCGGGATGAGCCGTAGAGTGCCTCCCGTGGACCCGTCGAACGGGTGTCTGTCGTTATCTCCCCTGCTCGGAGATATACGTGTCCGCAGCGGACAGTAGCTGGCTCATGCCACAAGCACTCCAAATTTGTCTCCTTTTAGAACCCAAGTTGGCTCATGCCTTTACGTGACCGCAGCGGTCAAAGCAGCCAGCCATTTCGGCAGGGCACAAGGTGACCATAGCGGTCAAAGCAAGTTTAAGGTTCATTGGAACCTGTCCCAATCTCAGGTGCACACACAGCGCTTACATTCAAACGAGGCAGGTCCCTAGGTGCTTCTAATGAGGTTTGTTTCATCGGTTCTCGTCCCCTCCCCTTTCATCCCTTCCCCTTCACACACTTTTGTTTTCCTCTTTTCTTTGATGTCCTCCTGTCTTCATGTCTGGTCATCTCATCCTTTCCTTCGTTTGCGCACATTGGTCCCGACCTTAGTGTGTACGTGCACTTCTACATACATTTTT